AATGAAAACACCAATTAACACCAATAAAACTGAATATATAATATTCCATCAAAAAATTAACAGAATATTAGTCTCAATCTCCAAATTAAAAATAAAGTATTGAAAAGAACTACACAAATAAAGTATCTTGGTTTGTGGATTGATGAAAAATTGAAATGGGACAAGCATATAGAGGTTCTGATACAAAAAATATCTCCAATCATTGGAGCTTTGCGAAGATGTCCTAAACTTGACAAAAAAGTCATAAACATAGTACTTCAGTCTAACGTACCATCGACCGTGAGTTACCCTGTATATGATAAACGTTTGGGGATCTTGTTCAAAAAATTATTTTTTTTTTTTTTTTTTAATCAATATGCTTTATTTTCAATTCATAATAACAAATTTCAACAATACAAAAATGTTTTTTTGTTTTCTTTTTCTTACCCTAACTAAATTCAATAAATACATACATATACATACTTACATATACATACATACATACAATATCTACAAATAAATATATTAAATCTATACATATATACATGTAGGAAGTATGTGATCAAAACGAATGAAAATATTCAGGACAAGTTCAATTAAAACTACTCAAAAAATGTATAAATCTGAATAAATAATTTTCAAGCATTGTTCCAAATCAGCAATGATTGCTGGTACCAGAACAAAATTATATTTGAAATTCAATGGCTGACAACATGTTGCATCATTTCAGTTTTGAATGTAGAGTAACTATTTTTATTTTTTATCCAGTTTGGCAAATTATTGAATGTTTCAAGACATTTAGAGAAGGGATTATTCAAACCAATGTTTGTTCTCACCTGGGGTAGATAGATTTGGTTTCGACTTCTAGTTTCATATGAATGTATCTCATTAACTATGTTCATATTTGTGTTGCATTTTTGTTGATTTCTTGTTATTTTATAAATAAATTTACATTGTTCTATCTGTAGAATTTTTTCCAGCGGCAAAATTTCAGTTTGATGGTAGATAATTTCTGTATTTGTTCTGCAGTCATAGCCAAATAAAGTTTTTACTACCTTATTTTGTAGAGTTTTGATTTTTTTAAATAATGTTTGAGAACATATCCCCCAGTTTGTTATCAGATAACGGAATATAGAAAGAAAATAGGCGTTATAGATCATGATTTTATTTTGTGAATTCAAATAACTTTGGCACCTGTAAAGTGCTCCAATCATTGGAACAATTTTTTTTGTCATGTGTTCTGCATGTTTATACCAATTTAATTTGTCGTCAATTATTAATCCCAAGTATTTAGTATGATCAACCTTTTGAATTGCCTGCTCTCCTATTTTGATATCTGGGTCATGACTTTCTTTATTTTTATTTTTGAATAACATATACACTGTTTTTTTCACATTTATCTGCAGCTTATTTGCCAGTAGCCATTCAGCATATAGTTCTAGGTCACAATTTACTAAGTCTTCTAGTTCTGCCAAGTTTGATCCTTCATATACAAGAATGGTATCATCTGCAAATATGTAATAGCGAGCCTTAAGATTTGCTTTTTTGAGATTTAGGGTGTGTAATGAGTATAATAGTGGCCCAAGGACTGAGCCTTGTGGGACTCCACAGCTAATATTCAAGATTTCACTATTTATTTTAACTAGAGATACATACTGTTTACGTTCATTCAAGTATGATTCTAATATGCTTGCACTTTTTCCTCTTATACCTAAGAAGTTCAATTTATTTATAAGTATTTCATGATCCACTACATCAAATGCTTTTTGTAGATCAATAAATATTGTAATGACATATTTTTTGTCATCTAAGTTTGTTATGACATGGTTCAGAAGGTCCATCGTATCACTTTGAGTGTTTGATTGTTTCTGAAAACCATATTGATACTTGTCTAATTCAACATATCTGGTAAGGAAGTTCATGATACGGTTTTTTAATAGAATTTCTACGAATTTTGATAATGCACAGACTACGGTAATGGGACGATAATTTTCTAAGTTGTTTTTTGGTCCAGATTTATGGATAGGGGTAACCTTACCCATTTTTAGCTCCTTCGGAAATTCTCCTGTTTCGAATATTTTATTAACCAAGTTGACTAGGATTGGTATTATTGTCTCCTGCACTAATGATAATTCTTTCACTGTAATTTTATCATTACCTGGAGCAGAATTCTTATTCATTTCCTCTAACACCTCTCTTACTTCTTTCATATCAGAATCGTGAAGGTACAAAGAATTTTTTATATTGATTTCATCAAAATGATGTTGGAGTGGGTTACCTACGAGTTTCGCATTGATTTTATTGACGATCGAATTACCTATATCACAAAAATATTTGTTAAATTTATTTCCAATTTCCATTTTATCTGTTATTAATGTTTTATCAACCTCGATTATATGTGCACTCGTTTGTTCCTTTTCATGTTTTATGAGGCTATTTATGAAGTTCCATTGTTTCTTTGGATTTCCCTCAGTATCATTCCATCTTTTTCTGAAAAAATTCGTTTTTAATTTTCTTTTTTCATTTTCAACTTGTTTTTTTTTATTTTTGAAGTCCTCTAGTATTTGTTGATCCTGTGGGAATTTTTTCATTAGTTTGTATAATTCCTCTCTTCTTTTCAATTGGTCTAAAAACGTGGGAGTAATCCAGTCATTATTTTCCCTAATTTTCATTTTAATTGTTTTTGTCGCCCTACTTTTAGCTTCTTGTATGAGTTTGATCAAAGTTCCGAATGTATCAACTGGTATAGAATTTTCTAGTAGATTTTTCAAATTCTCCTGATATTTTGAGTTATCTAGTTTCTCGAATGTTTTTTGAATTTTACAATTGCACCTTTTAGTTTTTGAATATAATTCTACTTCTATTAGATTATGATCAGAAATTGTGCTGTATTCAATGTTTAGTTTACACTCTCCAATATTACTTGTTGCTAAAACATGATCAATGATGGTATGTGAGTTTTGTGTAATTCTGGTTGCATATTCTATACCTATATTGTTTTGGATCTCAAATCCATTCAATACAGCACAATTTTTATATTCACTAGTGGTCTCAGTATTATCTAATAAATTTATATTAAAGTCTCCAATTATCAGTGTTTTTTTCTCCTGTTGTAGTATATCCTCTAATATGACCAAGAATTCCTTCACATTGAATGATGGTGGTCTATATAATGCTATAATTTTTATACCATTTAGCTGTAGATTCACCCCAACCATGTTGTATTGACTGTCGCCACCAACATTGTTTATTTCGATGAACTTGATATTTTCTCTGATGTATATTGCAACTCCTCCAGCTCTCGTATCTCTACATGCATGCACAGCTGAATACCCATTTATCATGAATTGGTTTAATTCATTCTTATATAACCAGGTTTCCACGATTACTAATATATCATAGTATTTTAGCTTCACAAGACATTGTAGTTCCTCCAATTTGTTTCTGAGACTTTGTGCATTCAAATACAAGATTTTTAGTTGTGATTGTGTTGTTTGTTTGATAATTTCATTGGAATTTTTCAGTTTTTTAGATCACTAGTGTCTTCGACTGGCTGTACTGGACTATTTTCATCTTTGCGTATATAGATTTTCCCATGATTTATCCAGGCAAATCTATAGTTATTTTGTTTCTTGTATTTCAGCACTTCCTTGAATAGGTATTGATTTGTCTTTGTTAGATCATGATTTAGGTAGATAATGTTACCTTCTTCATACCCTAGATCTTTCGAAGTTATCATTTTCTTCTTCCTAGCCCCCAAGAATTCCTCTTTCTCCTTTTCACTGGAAAAACACACTTTTATAGGCAGCTGTCCATTGTGGTTTCGCCCTTTTCCAATTCTGAAGCATTTTGGTTTCTTCAATGTTTGAACTTGCAATACTTCTTCCATTTTCTTCATAATATCTTCAATATTTTCTCGGTTGTCATACGGTATTCCATTGACAATTATGTTGTTTCTCAGCTCATTTTGCTCATTTTTGTTTTGTTCCTTTCCTAGCTGCGACTTTATCTTCAAAATTTCTGATTTCAGAACTTCATTGACTTTAACTTGTTCTTCATATTTGTTGAGTAGATCGGTATATTTGTTGTCCATTTCCATCAATTTCTTCATTATATCGTTCAGGGTATATTCCTGCTTGATATTATTGGTATTCCCATCATTTGAGTTTGATTTTGTAGATTTTGAAGGAATTTTGTTCACAGGCGTAACACTCATAACCTCATTCTTTTTACAAGATTCACAATAATATCTTTCCCCTTTCGGATTTTTCAATTCACTAGCAAAGTGATTGAATAATGCAGTGGATAGTTTTTCACATTTTTTATGATACCATTTCTGGCATTTTATGCAGTTAATAGCATAAGAATTTTTGCAGGAGTTTGCACAGCTACCGCATGTGTCGGCCATTTTTACACTTCATTTCAGTAAAATATCTGCACTTTATAAGAAAGCACTGAAAATATTGTATCGCCTCTCATTTGATATCCCAACAAATGATCTGTATGCGATAACAGAAAAATTTTCATTGGATGAATTATATAAAATAGATTCTCTTAAAGTTTCATATAATATAATAAACAATCTGAAATCCAATTTTGTTTTGGTAAGAAACTCAGAAATTCATGGTCATCACACAAGACAATTTAACTTATTTCATCTTGATTCAGCTACTTCTATAATTGGCCAAAAAAAATTTAGTCAAGCTGCTCTAGCTGAATTTAATAAATTACCACATGATATAAAAAATTTCAGACATAATTCAGAATTTAAAATTGAATTAAAAAAACACACGATTTCATTACGAAATGGATAACATTGATACTTTGCCATCTACTGATTGATCGATTTAGCATTTTTAGATTTCTTAGATTTTTCAGATTTTTATTGTTGTTGTCACCTTATATTATTTTATTATTGTTGTTTGTAATCAACTTCCTCATACCAGAATTTTATTTCTGACTGGAAGCTAGTTTTTCAATAAACAATAAACAATAAAACATTAATGAATCTACTTTTGTAGAAATTAGAACACAGATAAGTCCTCCAGCAAGAAAATACTATGGCAAGAAGCTCAGAAAGTACTGATTATAGTAGTGAAATGTATGGTTCATTGTTGATTTACCGTAATGATGGCGAGAAAGGACCAATATATGATTTATCTGAAGGAACAACTACAATAGGTGCTTCTACAGATGCTGATATACGATTGAAAATTAAGGATATACGCCTGGAAGATATCCACTGTTTACTTCAAGTAAACACAAATGGAATTGTGAGTAGATTTTTTTTCCAGTTCAGTGTTCAGATTTTATACTTATGCAGGGTATTCCAGTTATTTCCCTTTACGATAAACTGTGTCAATATATTTATAAATGCCAACATTGAAATTGTTTCAAGAACATGTTTTTCTGTTTGGACATGAAAATATTCATGATAGGTTCAGGGTTCGAGAAAGACTTTGAAAATATTGAGTACCAAGTGATTTTATTTGATTTTCTTGTCAATAAAGAATATTTGATCCATATATAGATTCAATAATTTTTCAGGCTGTTATCTTTAACAAATCTATAGCAGCCCCTGTGACTATAAATGGGGATCCATTGGTATATTCGAAGAACAGAGTTCTCAAACATGAAGATTACTTCGAAGTACTAGGGAAGAAATTTCAATATTTCAATGACAACATTTCTGAGAAAGATTATCAAAGAAGTCTTACTGCAATTCGAAAATCAGTTGCACCTGTCTTACAAACAAAAACCATAAGGTAAATTTCTAACTAGATGCATTATTGTGATTTTTTTCAATTTTTGCTATGTCATTTTGCAGTACAAAAATTCCTGTTCATCAAAGGGTCTTGATAGCAAATGAAAGGTATTGTATAACATATTCATTATTTGTGAAATTTCCTTCTTTTGACAGAGTAACAATGATATTTTTATTTTATAGGGATAAAATTACAGATTATGTCACTCCTGAAAAATGTCCAAATAGGAGATCTGGTACTGATGGATCTAAAACAACGTAAGTATAGAAATTCTGGCTAGAATTCGGATCTCATCAATTAATGAGATATCTTTTGATTTGAAATAAATTACCAGTCACAATGAAATGATGATATGTTATACAGTCACTAATTTGAGAAGAAATAATCTCAAATTTCTATTCAGGGGTGTAGCGAACACGGTTGGGAACATTTGAAAATGTCCCTAATTTCTTTCAGAATTCAAGGTGCTGTGGTTTCATTTCAAGACGCACCTTTTTCAAAAAAATTACACGAAATAATATTAACAAACATGCTACAAATCATCAATTTGTTTTTAGGATAGAATTACATTTATTTTACAATATTTTCGGAAATGAATTCTTTCAAATTATTCCATTGTTTAGTAATTATTTTTTTATCATTATTTATGTGAACTTTGTTGTTGAAACGGGTCGTGGTATATTGCACGATAATTATTGTATGAAACAATAATTCGATGTTGTCAATATTTCACAATACCTACTTGACTATAATTAAATCGTTGAAATCATCCATACTCAAAGTGGTATAATATATTTTCAGCGAAAATAAAAAACGGTCGACCACACTTCATGTAAAAAATGATCAATTAACATTGAAACATTAGTTTTTCAATGTCCAACCTCATCAGGGCCAGATTTTTCTGGCTCTTCAGGCGTTTAAAACATATTTATGCACTAGTGGGCGGTAAAGTGCACTTTATCGCCCAGATTTGCGGGCGTAAAGTGGTACTTATCGCCCAGGACCATAAAGTGCACTTTACCGCCCGCTGTTCTCAAGTCCCTTATATCCACACATCCATTTGTGGAATACCTATATTTGAACTCTCAGCTGATTCTATCGTTATGATTATGATACATGTTGTTCATACGATACCATCTTCGCTATAACGCCCTTCTTTGAATAGTTGCTTTCTGGCTGTCTGAAGTTTTTAGCCAAAAGATGACTACCTATTTCAGCTTGTGTTTTGGATGTATTGCTAGACAGCAACCATCAGATTGATTGACAACGTCAAATTTAGGTAGCTATATACTGGGTATACATAGTGTTACATCTCAAGGAATGAATCTCTGTTAGTGAACAAAGAGTTTTACTCTTACGATAATTGCGAAATTCGTACGGTAATTTTAGAATGTGGATTATACACATAAACATTGCACTTCTCTTGAAAACTGAATTTATGAGTAACATATGAATCGTAGTTTGTTAACATCTAGTCATTACTTGTGACTCGGGGAAATGAACCACTAGTGCATACAATTTTGTATGTATCACGTGCGTTAAATGCGTTTATAGCCTTCAGCGTGTGATGGCCCTCGGCTAGCGCCATCGGGCCATTATTCACGCCACAGGCCATAAACGCCTACTTTACGCCCTTGATACATAAATAACTATTTCACCCGACTTGCCTTGATGGTCATCCCGATGTCGTTTCAACTTCTGTATTATTTATTGTGACTTTATAAGGTACTACAGTCTGATGATGGCCGATGTGCCGAAACAGGTTACTGTTTAATTAATTATTTTTTACAAAAAGTATGGTCGATCGACTTTGAGTATTTTTATTTTCATTGTTGACTATAATTCATTATCAAGAAATTCCATGTGGTAATAATTTCAGATCTAAACTGGTCGTTTCGAAGGCACTAAGCAAATTACCTAAATCAAGTAGAAGATTGTCTCTCAATCTCACTCCTCGAGTACTAAGCTCTAGGAGAATGAGCCTGCCCAAAAAAAAGTGCGGAGGTTGCGCGGATCTCATAGATTTCAGTTCTCCTAGAAAGTCAATATTGAAGAGAAATAGCAAGAAGCTATCTGAAATAAATGATCTTCCTGACGAAAATTATTTGACATCGGAAGAAGAAACACCAGGAAGCGGGTTGAGGTCTTCAAGAAGTGTGGGACGATCTTCAATTTCTAATATTCCTGCAGATAGTAATAATTCAAAAGAAAAAACTCCACGGAACATCTCAACTTCCTCGCGGAGCATTGAAAGATCTTCACCTAATGAAAGAACATTATCAGTCGATCTGGAAGAAATTACTCCAGAATCCAGCAAAAGATTTTCGAGAAGCATGGACAGATCTTCAACAAACAGAACATCAAAAGTTGCCTATACGAATGAGTTGACTTTACCTTTGGATGGAACCACACCAGAAACCAGTGGAAGATACTCGAGAAATATTGACAGTTCTTCAGCAAAGAAAACAAAGGCTTTGGATGAAAACACTCCAGAAACCAACAAAAGATTGACAAGAAAAACTCATTCAGTTAGTAATATGAATGATATGACCTTACCTTTGGATGAAAGCACACCAGCACACAGTCAAAGATATTCTCGAAATAATGTTAGTTCTTCAACAAAGAGGACAGCATCTACAATTGATGATACTTTGGAAGATAATGATTCAACATTGCCTTTGGACGAAAAATCGCCTAAAGCCGATATGAGTTCTTTGAGAGTTGAAGAAAGATTTTCAGAACAGAAACAAACCGTTGATATTCACGAAGAAAATGATATGATCATGTTCTTGGAAACGAAAATTCAAGGAAACAGTCGGAGATCTTCAAGAAGTTTGGTGAGATCTCCAGGAGCAAATAGGATATCATCGGTCAGTAACCTTCCAGGCAAAAATGAGGTTACTTCAGGAACAAGCCATATATTTTCCAAAAATATAGAGAGTTCTCCAGCAAAACGAAGAGCTTCTTCAATTGGTTATCTTCAAAAAGAAAGTGTTTTTTCTTTGAAAGAAAAAACACCAGATATCAAATCCAGATCTTCAGGAAACTCACGAAGATCTTCATCAGATACCGGCAAAACATTTTCCAAAAATATCGACAGATTTTCATATAAGAAAAGAACATCTTCTGTTAGTAACCTTCCAGAAAAAAATAATTTGACACCAGGAACCAACCAAAGACATTCAATAAATATAACAAGTTCTCCAGCAGAAAGAAATAACATTTCAATCGGTGATGATCAAACATCAGATTTTGAGGCAGAAACTAAACGAAGATATTCGATAAACCTACAAAATTCTTCAGGAAGAACAGCTTCTTCACTTGGCAACCATCTTGATGAAGAGAAAACACCAGAAACCAATTACAGGTCTTTAAGAAACACAGGGAGTTCTTCGGCAAAAAGAACTGCTACTTCAATTGGTAATCTTACAGGAGAAGAAACTCCAGAAACCAGTAAGGGGCTTTCAGTAAAAATTAATGGATCTTCATCGAAAAGGATATCTTCTATTGATAATGAAACTGATTCATCACGATGTTTAGACAGTAAATTAAAAAACACCCAGAAATTATTTGAAAATAATGCTCACAATGTGAAAAGAAAAATATATTCAGTTGGCAACATTCATCATGATACATTGAATCTCAGATATTCTTTGAAGGAAAAAACCAAGTCTATGATGGAATTTGGATACCATTCTGACACTCAAGATGCACCTAGAAGGTCAGTGAGAAAGAGCAGCAAACTGGATGGTTCTTACGAAGTTTCCGTTTTTTCTGGACTGATGGAAACCGATTCTCAGATCCTCAATTCTAAAGAAGACCATACAGAAAACATTAATAAATTGAACTTGAGGTTTTCACTAGGTGGACACACTACGAAATCTTCCGTTAATTCAAGGATATCCTCAAGAAGTAAGGCACATTCATTGGGAGGTCTTATGGTTGAAGCAAATTATCAGAGAAAAAATAAATCAACTGCAGCCATTAGAAGTTCTGACAGAAGAAATACGCGATCTGTTTATAACTCGGAAGATTATCTGTCTATTGAATCTGGCATACCTGCTCAATCAAGAACAGGTAGATCTTTAGCAAGAAATACATATTCACACGAAGATGTTGAAGATGATCTAGAGAATGAAGTATTCGAATCACCTGTTGATAAGAGAAAATCTTCGCTTAGACGAGTATCTTCAATGAGTTCAACAAGTGGAATTTCTGAAATTGACATAGACAGTGAACCAGATCAGTCCACTCAATCAACAAACATAAAATCTTCAGCTGGTAGATCTTCAAGAAGAAATACATATTCAGTTTTAGACTATACAGATAATCAAAGGAATAAAATGATTGAATCACCTGTTGAAATCTTGAACAGAAAATCGACTTCTTCAAGTAGAAATTGTTCTTTCATTGAAATATCTGAAGATGATCTGGAAAATAGTAATGCAGACCAAGAAAGTTACAGGAGAACTTCTTTTAGAAGGTCTTCAAGAAGAAATGCTTCTTCAGTCGAGGAATCTGAAGGAGATTTCGAGAATGAAGATGAACCCCCTGAATCAATGAATAGAAAATCATCAATAAGTGGAACTCCTTCTCTGATTGAAATATCTGAAGATGATTTAGACAATGGTTCAGTCCACGAAAGTAGGAGGAGAAGTTGGAATAGACGTTCTTCTTCAAGAAGGAATACATCTTCTGGGGTTTCTGAAAATCGTGCAGATAAGAAAGGTCAATCACTTGTAATGAGTGTGAATAGAAAATCATCATTGGGTAGAAATTCTTCTGTACTTGAAATTTCTGAGGATGATCTGGAGAGTAGTAATACAGACCAGGGAAGTAACAGAAGAACTTCTGTTAGAAGTTCGTTGAGAAGGCATTCTTCTTTGATGAAAAAATCTGAAGGTGATTTGGAGATTGCAGATGAACCAACATTAATAAGAAAATCATCAGTTGATAGATCTTCTTCAAGAAGATATGGATCTACATCTGAACATTCTGAAGGTCATGCAAATGAAAAAGATCAATCACCTCTCAAGGCTGCAAATAGGAGATCTTTCGTCAGATCTTCTCTGAAAAATGAATCTCTGATTGAAAAACATTCAATTCAAGATCTAGAGAATGAAATGAATGAATCGCCTGCTGGAACAATGAATAAAAAATCAAGATCATCAAGAAGAAATTCATCTGGAGATGATCTGGACAATAGTGATACAGACCAAGAAAGTAACAGGAGAATTTCTGTCAGATACTCATCTTTGAACAAAGAATCCGAAGTTGATTTCAAGAATGTTCAGGAATTTCTAAGGGGATCATCAGGTGGTAGATCTTTAAGAAGTAGATATTCAACTGAACATTCTGAGAATCAGGATGAAAAAGAGCAATCGACTCTAAAGGCTGTTAACAGAAAATCTGTTAGTAGATCTTCTCTGAAAAATGAGTCTCTGGTTGATAGACATTCGGTTCAAGATTATCAAGAAAATCTAGGAACTGAAATTAATGAATCATCTTCTGGGACAATAGATAGAAAGTCAGCATCATCGAGTAGAAATTCTTCCCTGATTGAAATGTCTGAAGATGATCTGGACAGTAGTAATACAGACCAAGAGAGTAACAGGAGAAATTCTGTTAGAACTTCGTTGAGAAAAACATATTATTTGATGATAGAATCTGAAGGTGATTTAGATAATGCAGATGACTCAACTGTCCAGGTATTTATAAGGAACTCTTCAGTTGGTAGATCTTCTTCAAGAAGAAATACATCTATTTCTGAACATTCTGAAGATCTTGCGAATAGAATAGCTCAATCACCTGTCAAGACAGTAAATAGAATATCTGTTGTCAAATCGCCCTTGAAAAATGAATCACCTGCAGAAGCAATGAATAGAAAATTGTCATTAAGTCGAAATTCTTCTGAAAACAGCACTATTCAAGAAAGTAACAAAATAACTTCTGTTAGAAGGTCATCTAGGAGAGATTTATCTTTGATGAAAGAATCTGAAGTTGATTTAGAGCATGAAGATGAACCAACTGTTCAAACACTCACCAAGAAATCTCCAGTTGGTAGATCTTCTATTGGTAAAACTACATTTTCTACTGAACATTCTGAAGATCGTACGAATGAAAGAGATCAATCTCCTCTGCACGCTGCTAACAAAAAATCTGTTGCTAGATCTTCTCTGAAGAATAAGTCTCTTGTTGACGCACATTCAATTCAGGATCCTCAAGAAAATCTAGGAAATGAAATGGATGAATCACCTGTTGGAACAGTGAATAGAAAATCATCATTGAGTAGAAATATTTCCTTGAATGAAAAATCTGAAGATGATCTGGACAATTGTACGGACCAGGAAAGTAGCAGGAGAACTTCTGTCAGGTCATCTGGGAGGAATTCGACTTTGAATGAATCTGGAGATAATTTGGAGAATGAAATAGAATCAGCTGTTACGGAATTTATAAGGAGATCTTCAGTTGATAGAAGTGGAAATACAAAATATCAATCACCTGTCAAGGCTGTAAATAGAAAATCTGCTGTTCGGTCGTCCTTGAAAAATGAATCACCTGCAGAAGCAATGAATAGAAAGTCATCATTGAGTAGAAATTCTTCTCTAGTTGATGTTTCTGAAAACAGCACTTTAGATCAAGACCATATCAAGAGGACCTCTGTTAGAAGGTCATCAAGTAGGGATTCATCTTTGATGAAAGAATCGGAAGTTAATTTAGAGAATGAAGACAAACCAACTGTTCAGGCATTCACGAGAAGGTCTTCAGTTGGTAGATCTTCTATGGGTAGAAATACATCTTCAACTGACCATTCTGAAGATCGTACGAATGAAATTCTGAAGACTGCTAGTAGAAAATCTGTTGCTAGATCTTCTCTGAAGAATAAGTATGTTGTTGATGCACATTCAATTCAAGATCCCCAAGAAAATCTAGGAAATGAAATGGATAATAGAAAATCATCATTGAGTAGAAATATTTCCTTGAATGAAAAATCTGAAGATGATCTGGACAATTGTACGGACCAGGAAAGTAGCAGGAGAACTTCTGTCAGGTCATCTGGGAGGAATTCGTCTGTAGTAAATGAATCTGGAGATAATTTGGAGAATGAAGTAGAATCAGCTGTTACGGAATTTATAAGGAGATCTTCAGTTGATAGAAGTGGAAATACAAAATATCAGTCACCTGTCAAGGCTGTAAATAGAAAATCTGCTGTTCGGTCGTCCTTGAAAAATGAATCACCTGCAGAAGCAATAAATAGAAAGTCATCATTGAGCAGAAATTCTTCTCTAGTTGATGTTTCTGAAAACAGCACTCTAGATCAAGACCATATCAGGAGGACCTCTGTTAGAAGGTCATCAAGTAAAGATTCATCTTTAATGAAAGAATCTGAAGTTGATTTAGAGAATGAAGACAAACCAACTGTTCAGGCATTCACGAGAAGGTCTTCAGTTAGTAGATCTTCTATTGGTAGAAATACATCCTCAACTGACCATTCTGAAGATCGTACGAATGAAATTCTGAAGACTGCTACTAGAAAATCTGTTGCTAGATCTTCTTTGAAGAATAAGTATGTTGTTGATGCACATTCAATTCAGGATCCTCAAGAAAATCTAGGAAATGAAATGGATGAATCACCTGTTGGAACAGTGAATAGAAAATCATCATCATTGCATAGTAATTCGTCCCTGAATGAAAAATCTGAAGATGATCTGGACAATTCTATGGACCAGGAAACTAGCAGGAGAACATCTGTCAGGGCATCTAAAAGGAACTCGTCTTTGGTTAAAGAATCTGGAGATAATTTCGAGAATGAAGTAGAACCAACTGTTGAGGAATTCATAAGGAGATCTTCAGGTGGTAGAAGTAGAAATACATCTTCCACTGAACATTCTGAAGATCATGGAAGAGAAGAAGGTCGATCACCTTCTAAGTCTGTTGAAAGAAAATCTGTCGGCAGATCTTCATTGAAGAATGAGTCTCTGCTTGAACGTTCTGAAGCTGAACTAGCAAATGTTTCAAACCGGTCTACTCATTCAAGAACCAGCAGATCTTCAAGCAGAATTCGAGACTCCAGTTTTGAGGAAGTCGATTTGGCCACTCCAAAATCATCAGCAAAGAAACAAAGGTGAGTATTTTCCATGACTTATTGTAAACTAATTACCAGATATAGTGGGCTGCCTAACATTTCTTGGCCGACATTGTATCAACGAAAGGTAGACTTGATATTCTTCGGGTATAAATTAGACACTTTCTAGTGAAAAATGTTGTATTCTATGTTTTTTCGGTCGCCATTTTGAAAATGTAAAAAAATAGTGCGATTCCAATTATTTCTTTTATTTTTGGTGTCGTAGATGACGTTTCAACAGTTTAAAAAAATATATGAGCAAAAATAGAAATTATTATGTCCCTTAAAAAAAGTGTCTACGTCTATGGAATAGATAATGTCATATCCGTGATCACCGAAATTTTCTGCATATATGGTGATAGTTTCTTAAATAACGCTTTCTTCTGTACCGGGTGAACAACTAAGAACGGCTGTCGGTCATATCTCAGCAAAGAATAATGATACAAGATAACACGATGTCATAGAGAAACTAAATCTCAACAGACGAACGAAAACCGCAAGATGATAGCTTTTCGCCAACGGAAGATACTAACTATCAAAGTTGGAAGAATAATGTTCAAAGAACATCGTGCGTTCCTAGGGAGGATAGGGACAGGAGGTAGGTATTGGATTTTTTTTTTGTTCTTAGTTGTCCACCCGGTACGTGAACATATGGATTATTTTGTACGCCGATAAGTTCATTAAAAAGAAATTCATTACATTTATGCACCTTGTGAATAAATGAAAAACTGAATAAATTATGAAATTGGAATTTTAATTCACATTCCAGAATCCCTTTTTGCACGCCTCTGAACTTGAAAACATCATGCTGATTAAAGGCATGGCACCTTCTCTACTCCACAGATCAATAAAACTGTTGAATTTTTTTAATAAAGAAGACTTTCCGTTTCTAAATATCATAATTGTTATTCATTATACAAGGGAAAAAAGTAGTAGATTTTACCTCCAGGTTGTGTTGTCTCCCTTCGCTACGCGTCGGGAGACAAAGAACCGTGAGCTAAAATCTACTATTTTTCCCGTGTATAATACACTATTTTTTCCGAGGGGTAAACCGCTGAGGAAGTATGGTGTACAGCATGAGGAAGTACAAGGGAAGTACGGGAAGTATGAGGAATTATTAGGAAGTACAAGGAAGTATGAGGAAGTATGAGGAAGTACGAGGAAGTACGAGGAAGTAGAAGGAAGTACAAGGAAGTACAAGGAAGTACAAGGAAGTACAGGAAGTACGAGGAAGTTTATAGTACTTGAAATGCTCACGTTAATGTTCCTATTGCGAGTCCTGCGCGTTAGTGACGATTGATGTGTTATGTTTCATCACCGTCTAGAGACATGACGCATCAAATATTGCGAGCGAGCCGTGCGGAAGTAAATATTCAAAAAATTTCCGGCTGATCCTGATAAAGAAACATCACTGAAATAGCTGAAATTACTACAGATTTTCTTCAGTTAATCAGAGGACTTGAACCCACGATCTTTCAATCCATACACATGGGGCGCCGTGGCCGAGTTTGTCTATGCGCTGAACTTCGCTAGATAGCCGTTTACGATGCGGAGGTACTGTCGGTTCGAATCCGGCTATCAGGCTGAGCCTTTTTGTGTTGTGATCGGCGGAATAACAATGCCTTTCAAGTGTTGTGTTCCCTTTTGTCGGGGGAATTATGTGGGTGGTTCAAAAGTTCATGCTTTTAGTTTCCCGTTGGACGAGGAGCTATCGAAAATGTGGGTATTTAGGCAATTCACCGCGAGGATTTTACTCCATCTAAGTTCAGTAGTGAACAGAGCTTAATTTATAATGATGAATTGATAATAGAAGACAATTACTCTCTCATAAAAAGTATAAGTAGAGGAAAAATAGAAAAGCTTTGATTGTGCAGTTAGTTTTGTATTCGTATATTATAGTCAACAAAATCATCTCTGAATTCGAGGAAATTTTCATGAATGTTCATAATAAACCGGCATTTTCAATTCTCATTCTCAAATTTCTTTCTGAAAACGGTCATTTGCCTCGTGGCAATGAATGCAGAATTCATTCCAATGATCAAACTATCATATCAACATGAACTACAAACACTCTACTTGAAAAGGTAAAACTGCATTTATCATGATATTTATCATGAAGATATTTGACTTGAAAGTTATGCTGCTTGTTCACTAAATATGAAAAACTCGCCATAAAAATCATATTTCCTGTTGAATTTTCTATATAAAAATGTGCCATCGAAGTACATCATGAGTATATAAAGTGTACAATGACAAAATAAGATCAAGTAGCTTCAAATGCCCCCAACACAAGGGGAGAAAGAAGGCGAAATTTCGAACTTTTTCTTGAAATATCTCAATAAACAGTGGTTTATTCACATTTTCATTATAAAATTCGGTTTATCAGACAAAAATACGTGATTACCGAAAAAAAATTTCAAGAAAAAAAGAACCATCGCATGATAAATGCAGTTTTACCCTTAAAAATTACGGTTTCAAGTGTAACGATCCACTTGGGTGAAAAATCCAACAACAGAAAATTGAAAACACTCACTGGTTATTTTTTCAGGTAATAGGAATTCTCCAAGATAAATATACGAGGGGCGAACCGCAGACGGCAATTTGTACACCAGACTTCACATTTTCCTAAGACTTCACTGACTTCATCGAGACTTCACTGAGTTCATCATGACTTCACTGACTTCATCCAGACTTCAATGAATTCTTGGTGACTTCACTGACTTCATCAAGACTTCACTGACTTCATTGAGACTTCACTGACTTTATTGGTACTTCTTGGGACAAGATTTTCATTGAGACATCACGACAATCATTGAAAATTCAATTTCGTTGAGAAGTGACGTCATTATGTAGTTCAGTAAACGAACAAAAAATAGGGGAAAAAATCGTGTAGTCGCAAATTTCTGTAGAGTGATGAAAGAAAGTGCCATGTACAACATACTGAAAGTCCTGATCCCTAGGGGTTGAGCGTTGAGCGGGGCAGTAGGGGAACGTTTGAAGGTCATTTTTTCAAGTTATTCTTGAATAATTCGACAATCGCAAACTCTAGCGAAAAAATGAAAGTATACGAAGTTGAACAACATAAAATTTCCTATGGAAAAGTTTCTATTCACTTTTCGTCTAGAACGAATAGTTCCTGAGATACAGGAAGAGAAAAAATCGACAAGCATCAAAAATAGAGTTTAATGGTTTGAAATTCATGTTCAATGTCTCACATCATGGAATTAGTGTTCAACGTGGCTAATAACAGGAAAAAAATGTTTTTCGAAAGCAAACATCTCGGCAAACATTTTGAATGTATACTTTTCAATAATTGCCAATTATAATTATCATCTTCGTCCATATTTTCCATATCCAGCAACGATGCACCTTATATGGATACATATATACGTACTGAGCGATCCATCCTCCCCTCCATATTTTCATTTAGTTGAACGCAAACGTAAAGAATACTGTGACGTTCAAGGCTGCGAATCTTAATGAGCTTCTCTCAGATTTTTTTCAATTTAGTCAACTTTGATATTCTCATTTATGCAAGATGGTTGAACAACACCGTGTGTTTTGTTCTTGAAACCTCTGATTTTCATACTTGCACGGGAAATGTTCCTCAGGAATATGTGATGTCATTCAATCACTAGCAATACCAGTCAAACGAACTCGACAAGTCCAGTTAGCACATTATTTCGTCTTCAATATTTTGTTTTGGTAATGTATAATGTTCGGTTTATTTTGGCATGATATTTCCTCGGATATTACGCTGGGATAATTCGATGGGAGTCAAGTTATGACTCGACTCAAGAGGAAATAACTCGAGAAAGAAGGGTCACTCGGATTGACGCGAGGATAGAAGACTGTTGTATTTCACGGGAAATTCAGACAAACGTGGTATGTATTTATTAATGATTCATCGAGACTTCACTGACTTCATCATGACTTCACTGACTTCATCGAGACTTCACTGACTTCATCGAGACTTCAGTGACTTCATCGTGACTTCACCGACTTCATCGTGACTTCACTGACTTCATCTAGACTTCTCCAACGTAAATATAGGTAATTGTAACAAACGGCATGTCAATCAAAATAAAATTAATTTTCCACAATTTTCTTTCGATCAATCTCACGATAAGTTAATGTTCTGCGGGCCCTGTATAAGTAGGTGTGAAGTTTACCTTCACCACAATTTTTGCCAATAAATTTAATTCGAATGGGTTGCTGTAGGTGGCTATTTGTGTTTTATCCTGGTTTTTGCTTTAAAACTTCGTTTTTCCATATTAAAATCGAATGGGGTGCGAAGAAGGGCTCAGTTGACGACTGGCATTCTTTTTCAACCGGAAGCCCTTCAAAAAACAGCAAAATCGGCTCAATGATGATCTAAAACTAAAATCGAAATACGCGGTCGCCTTATACGCTATAAGCGCTTGTCGTTTCGAGCCGCTGGTTAGGCCTCACTAAGTGACGTCACCCACGGAGCATGTAGGCCTTGTTGTATCGGTGGTAACGAGTCGCGCCGCAATATTTGGAGCATTCTGTCTGGGTGCTTCTTTATTTATTTTTATTAGTTGGTTGAGTAACGGCTTGCGAGCTTTAGCTGCAGCGTATTTGTCTAGGTATTTATTTGTGAACGATTAAGCTAGTTCAAGTTGAGTTCTGTCTGGGAATAAGGAAAGGTATGTTTCATACGAGGGGTGAACCTCGGTCAAGATTGTGTAGACCAAACTTCAATTTCACAAGGAATTTCGAGGAATTCCAGTTGTTTTTACACCAGAACTATACCGCACTTCACACAAGAAATTTCAAGAAACTCCAAGGAATTCCAGGAAATTCCAAGAAAATCCAAGGAATGGTTTGAATGGCACACTTAGGATTTCTGGAATTATATTAGGAATTGAAAGAAAGTATAGGAAGTATCAAGGATGTTCGAGAAGTATCAAGGAAGTACGGGAAGTATCAAGGAAGTACGGGAAGTATCAAGGAAGTACGGGAAGTATCAAGGAAGTACGGGAAGTATCAAGGAAGTACGGGAAGTATCAAGGAAGTAGAGGAAGTATGAGGAAGTATACGATTTTGAGGAAGTAGTGTACACCATTTAGGTCAGCGGTTTACCCCTCGATTTTTTCTGTGGCAGAAGAAAGGACGAATCAATATTGAGAAGATATTACATTATTTTGAAATCTGAAAATTATCGACGTGAAATTTCAAGTTTTTAACAGTAGGGACGCCTGCGTTGTAGGCATCTTTATCATTCTTTTGAAGTAATCAAATATCTGATGTCATTTCTGTCAGTCTAATTCTGTGATTTGAATAAAAAAAATTGCGAATTTAGTGATTGTTTAGTAATATACGTAACCGCGAAGTCGAATGGAAGATAAAAGGACTTGCAGTTCTTTCTCGGAGACGGTATTATCGACTAATTTTTCGGAACTATAACACAACAAAAGCCATCAACAGTGTATATATATGTGATACATATCCGGGAAAAAAGTACTCACTTTTATCCGACGGGAAAAAAGTAATTTACGAAAAGTGAAATTTCATAACCTGCCAACAGAGATGAAATGCCAAACTTGTTTCCTGTCACAGAAAAAACTCCTTTGTTGCCCACCTCTGGATTTGTCAACATCAGGCTAATCGGTAAAACTGCATTTATCATCCGATTGTTTTTTTTCGAAAATTGTTTTTGGTACATATGAATTTTTGTCTGAAAAACACGAACGAGAATGTTCAATAGTAGTAAATTTGAGCTTTCTACTGACCAAAATATGAAATTGTACCAGAATTGGGTGAAATATACTAATGTACTGAAGGGTATAAATTGTACTGAATGTATACAAATGTACCAGCACTGGCAACACTTATTATAGGTCAAATGTTCTGCCATATGCACCAAAAACCGAGGTCATCACCCCCACCACTCCCGATGGCATTAAAAGCGACGATGCCGGATTCAAAACGCCTCTGAACACTCCGGGGCTATTCAACGAAATCAAGAAATCCATGTTGAAGTCGAGAAGCAAGTTGCAAAAGTCGTCGAGCAATCTCCTGGAGGAATTCAATAAAGACACTGGCTTAAAAAGACCTAGAGAGTCTGTTGGAGACTCTGGTAGGAGTACCAAGAAGATGAGGTTGATAATAAATGAAGACGACACATTTGAGGAGGTAAGACATCATTGATACTTGTTTATTTTCACTCTTTTTGGGAATGAAAATTCAATATTTTGTTCTGTTGACATTTTTTTGATCAAATAGAAGCTCTTATCTATCGCGAGATTCACGAAGTGGGCGACATCTAGATTACATAATACAAACTTCAAACTGGGGGAAAACAAACTGTTGTCTATGGATAGAGTGTATAGACTGCATTGCATTCAGCTTGCTATAGCTGTAGTCAAACTTGTCAATGACATAAAGTGTTGGCACTGTTTGCAGTGATGATGGTTGAGTTGGTTAATTTTTTTACATTATTACATTTTTATTAGTTTTGTGAATAGTGAACGGGTGAAGAATTAGATATAGTTCGAACAATTCAAACTAATTATGACCAGCAAATCAGTTGACATATAAAAGAACAGCTACAACATGTTTACAATACCCAGATTGTCCTGCTTTGCATGAACAAATACAAATCCATTGTTCTACAGGAGTTCCTCTGGACCCCAACTTCAATTTTACTTCATGTGGGGAAGATTTCATCGCCTAAGTTTGTAGACAAAGTGCAAAAATGTGCCTTTTGTTGAAGTCTTCTGCCTCACACAAAATCACATGTTTAGCACGGAGAACTGCTTGTCCTTCTACTACTGGTCGGCTTTTTCCATCTAAATATAGCAAAATATCTGCCAAAAGAACATCTTCAACCGGCGTTATTAGCGTTTTCGATCGAATATTGACAATTAATGTCAAGAAATTTGAAAACTTATCACTCTTATCAGTACACAGTACACAAGCTAATGGCACTAATGGGATTGAGTGAGGATTGAGTTTGTTTTCTCCCAGTTTTGACGTGGCTTTGACATGGAACGATGAAAACCGAGCGCCACCTGGTGACATTGATTCCCGCGAATATAAATAGCTTTTTAAGTTCTTGGAAATTTTTAGCACTGATATTTTTTTCAAGTCTTGTTGGCAATTCATTGTAAAGTAATAATCCATTGTAATATAAAGATCTCCTGCCAAATTCAGATTTGATTATAATGAAAGAAAACATGTCTGTTTGCTAGGTGAATCATGAATGTGAATGTATATTAGCATTACTTTTAAAATTCGAATTCGAAGGTGTAAGGAAACTATGATGTGTTTGGGGGTGTTTTTACAGCAAAGAAATTGAATGAATGATCATATGTTGTGAAATCACCCCCAGAAATTTTCTTACCCTCTACTTTTGGACTTGGTATTTAAATAATGATTTCTTTTCTCTTTTTCAGTCCCACACTTTCGAATCAGATGCTTCACCAGAAGAATCGTACGATAATATTGTTGAAAATGACACTGATGACAATTTTCACAGGTAATTTTTCTACCGAAGTCACGTTTTTGAATAAATAAGTCATCAAAGCTATTTTGTTTAAACAGTGATAATGGAATTCTGGAGAAAAGCAGATTGAAGTCACCAAAGAGTGATCTTCGCGAGGTGAAAAATAAATCTGCATCCCATAAATTGGTCAAATCGCCGAAGAACGATTTGAGGAATATCGTGGGGGTGAAAAAATTGTTTTCCACCCCTAGAAATGCGAAATCGCCCAGGAATGATTTGACAAACGTTCCTAACTTACGCAAGATCATGTCACCGAAGTCGCAGAACAGCCCTGCGAACGATCTGACGGACGTGAGAGGCTTGAAGCGCCTCATGAAGACACCGAAGGTATGCAATTTTTCAATTAACACCTTTTTATTAGCTTCACCTGTATGTATGTAACCGACTCCTTTAGGACTCAATTTTGACCACTTCAAACAGACCGATTGATTTTATTCAAATTTGGTAGAGTCCGACCACGGTAACTTTGGGACAGCATGTGACGCAACGCATGTGACGCAACGCATGTGACGCAACGCATATGCATATTCAATGCATACGCGACCACGTGCTGTCCCAAAGTTATCGTGGTCGGACTCTATCTGGGGTGTTTTGGGGTCGGAGATTATGATTCCTTCATCAAAATTTTGAAATTCAAGATGGCGGATCCAATATGGCGGAAGAGTTTTGTTATTATAATCCGAATCCATTCAAAATTTGAATCTGCGGGTTTTCCGGATCAGGGATTATGATTACTTCGTCAAAATTTTAAAATTCAAGATGGCGATTCCAATATCTTATCTTTATTATTATTCCCAAGAAACATACATGTTTATAGCAGGGAAAATTATGAAAGAGCAACTAAAAAAAAACAAAAATTAGATAATCAGATAATCATTTTTAAATCATATACATAATACATATAATGTTGTTTCTTCTAGAGACTGTTAAATATAATTTCTTGAATTGATTCAGGATGACATGAAGAGAATCAAAGACATAAGTATTTTTTCAGTTCTTTTTTGAATTTTTCAACACTTAATTTTTTCTTTAGTCTGGCAGGTAATTCATTATAGAGAATTGTTCCATTGTATAAAATAGATCTTTTACCCATATCTGATTTAATTTTGATGAGAGTTAACATATCTTTTTGTCTGGTTATGTGTTCGTGTTTATGACTATTGACTTCAAAATTCAGATTTGAATGTTTATAATTATATTTGACGGAATGGATGAAATTCAATATTTTGAATTTGTAAATGGAGTTTATATCTAACAATTGCCTAGGTTTATAAAGATTTCTTGTTGGTTCCAACTAATCTAGTTTGTATACAGGGTGTTTCCTAACCACGGTTCCTAACTGCAGGTGGTGATTCGTTAGGCCATTTTAGTAAGAAAAGTTCCTATCAACATATGTCCGGAGTTGCTTCGTTTCTGAGATACAGGGCGTTGAAATTAAAGAAAAAAAACGGTAATTATAAAATATCATGAATATCCTAGAACCGATTTGGTTGAAATTTGGTACTTTTATTTGAACTAATAAGGCGCTTATTCATCCATATTTAGATTGAAATTATTGGATCCAGTGGCGTCTCAGTAGGCACCACAGCCAACAATATTGTGATATAAAGTACGCTACTGACTTTTTTTGGTGAATTTCCATTTTTTTAAGATTAAGCAACTCAAAATACTACTTTTTGGTCTCCTGTATTGTCTTCATATCCAGCTTCGTTTTCGAGAAAAAAAATCAAAGCCATTGTGTTGCATATCATGAACACCTGCATTGGAGAAATGAGTTTTTCATTATTTCCGCCAAAAATATAATTGACACTTGATATGCTGAAATTTTAGAAAATTTGACGAAGAAAAGTACCAAATTCCAATCAAATCGGTTTCAGGATATTCATGAATTTTATAATTAACGTTTTTTTTTCTCTAATTTCAACGCCCTGTATCTCAGAAACGAAGCAACTCCGGACATATATTCATAGGAACTTTTCTTCTTAAAATGACCTAACAAATCACCCCCTGCAGTTAGGAACCGTAGTTAGGAAACACCCTGTATATCGGGAACGAGTTTTGTCATCATGATCCGATTTTGATCGAAATTGGAAACTGGAGGTTTTCAAGGTCAGAGATAATGATTCTTTCGTCGAAATTGGTGAATTCAAGATGGCGGATCCACTATGGCGGACGAGTTTCGTAAATATGATCCGAATCTATTCAAAATTTTTATCTGGGGGGTTTCGAGATCGGAGATTATGATTCTCTCGTCAAAATTTGAAAATTCATCAAGAAGGCGGATCCAGTATGGCGAATGATTTTTGTAATTATGATCTGATTCTACTCAAAATTTGTATTTGGGGGTTTTTGGGGTTGGAGACCTTCTTCAAAATTGGAAAATTCAAGATGGCGGATCCAATATAGTGGACGAGTTTCGTAATTATATGATTGGATTCTATTCAAAGTTGGTATCTGAGGGTTAACGAGGTCGGAGATTATGATTCATTCGTCAAAATTGGGTACCTACAAAAAATTTGAGAACACTAAAAACACGCTTTTGTAGTTAGCCGAACAAAAAAATATGATCGTTTTATGCGCATATTTTCGAAACCCCCTTTTGATTTTTATGAAATCCCAATACCTGACTTTATATGACCAATACTAAAATGAATTCGTCGAAAATTTGATCAGGACCGTGCATTTATTTGTTCTTGGAACCTTGAACGCTCCCATCCATCCTTGAGTACCTAGATTAGATTAGATTTGGGATGGGGCCTTCGGGCTATCTGCCTCCACACTGCGACCTTTTCAGATCTATTGTGTCTGCCATCAAAATCGATTAGAGTTTTTCGGCTAGCCCCGCCTTCTCTATGAGACTCCATAGGCTAGCTTTTAGATCTCCTGTGTATCTCTGGGCTCCTGGTTTTTCCTCACCCAGCGTAAGGAACCTTAGTCTTGACAAGCCCTCACAGTGGCAAAGTATGTGTACTGCTGTTTCTTCCTCTTCTTGACAGAACCTGCACAGCAGTTCTTCAGTCAGACCTATCGTACTCATGTGTTTGTTGAGCCTACAATGCCCTGTGAGAAGTCCCACTAGTATTCTAGTTGAACTTCGTTTCTGGCTTAGTAGATATTCTGTGAATGTTGGCGATGGTTTTTTAATAAACTCTTTAGCCTGTCTCATTCCTGGCGAGTTGTTCCACCATTCTTGAGATTTGGTTTGCATCCATGATTTGATACTAGTCTTTTGTATAGCTTTCGCAATACCACAGAAGGGTTCTGGGCCATTAAGAGTACCTAACATACGGTGATGCTCTTAGATTCCGGTCGAGTTCCGATATTCCCAACCAGTACTGTCCAGTAGTGTAGACTGTTCCGAAAGTACTGTTTTCTGCTGGCAGCACTTTCCCGCGTTCTGTCATTGAACCCTGTGCAAGGCTAGAAATTCACTGTTCGCTACTGACATCAAATGGTCATGTGGCACCAGTAATATCCCCTCTCCTTCATGAAAAACTAGAAAGTGTGGTTATAAAGATTATTATTATTCTCTTTACTCTCTTTATGTGCTGTTTGTTGTTGTATTGTTTATAAAACCATCCAATGAACGAACATTGATCGTCTGTAATGAAAATGTTTTGGGTAGTTTTTGAAATTGAAGTGGATGATGAAATTTGATATCCTTGGGCGAGGAATAATCTGACCTCTCTTTTTTATGGTATATGTATAAATCCCTGCAATACAATCTATTTCATTGTCAGTGCTACTTGAACTACTGCATGCCATCAGCAATATCAGATTCATCAGATGAAGATCCGAAAAATTCAGCAGTAACAGCTAGAACGAGAGTATCCATATATTTTCATCAGGCTAGTAGGTACTAGAGTCACTGGATGGTATTAGTTTGATAAGAGTTCGGTCACAGCTGAACTTTTGTCCTTTTCTATTTTCTATAATACAATGGTTTAAGTGAATAAAAGAATGAGACATATTCTGCTCTTTGTCTTTTCGATTTCCCTACTAGCGCCTGATTGTCAGATACGATTTTAGAGGTTATATTTTCTGTCAAATCAATCATAGCCGTAGATGGCCAATGGATATAGGGTACAAACACCCACTTCAATTTATAGTGATACACTTCTAGCAGAACAACTGTTATATAAATGAAAAGAATGCATGTACCAACGTTTTAATATTAGAAAATATACACATATGGATAAACTTATTGCTATAATTCCTTATTGTATGTCAAACTGTACTCCAGTGATAAGTATAAAACATGAAGTTATTGATATTGAATTGAAGGTACCCAGATAGCACAAAGACATCTTTAAGACATCCTAAAGACATCGTTTTCAGACGTTCACAACGTCTTTAAGACGTCTATGGACGCCTTAGAGACGTCTGAAAGACGTCTTCTATAGGCCGGATGTTAAAAATCACGACGTCTTTAAGATATCTTTATAATGTCTCTTCTGAGTCTTATAAAGGCATAAAAAAGACATGAGAAAGACCTCATTTCTGAATGGATTCCAGGGTTCCTCTGGGGATTAATTAAAGTGGAATTTGGAGTATTTGGATGTTGAAAGTATTATTCAATAACTGTTTTCATTCCTATGTTTTTCAAGTCAAAGTGCCAGTTATGAAGCGAACATGTAGGTATCTACATACAACACAAAAAAATAGTTGATCTTTGTTACATTTATTTGAAAAGTACAACTACCATCTCCAGAAAAGAAGTTGCTCGTCCACCCTGTTTGTGATAGGAAAATTGAGAATATTCATTATGTTTCAAATAACTGGTCTCTTCATTTTTTTCTTAAAACAGGACACCTCATCTACAGGAATACTGTTTGTATTAGTCCCTTTGTTGATTGCTTTTTGTGTCAACCAAGCATATACATATCTCTGGAAGATCCCAAATTCTTCCTGAAAACAATGATATAGAGTTGAGTTTCAGGAGTTTACCAATATCATTATTAGGGAGAGTTCTTCTTACCTGACACACACAGTGGACTGTAAACATAATAAGGCATAATACTTATTATACTTCAATGCAATCATTTGCACCCATTTGATCAGCCAAAACCAGGTGGCCCACATTTATGAGCTCAGCTTCATTTTGAAGACACTGAATCAATGAAAAAGTGTAGACAGATTAAAATGCACAGGCTAAATGGCCAAATCATAAGAATTCTTGTTCAATAATGATGAAAACTTACAGGTTATCATTATGTTGGTATAGGTTCTAGGTTCAACATTCCAACTAGAGGTAGGTAGGTGTTCTACTGTTAAACATCAGAGATATTATTGTCCTCAATCAAAACACAATGAACCACTGGAAAACACGGATTTAAAAAATACACAAATATCAAAGCTGAGATTGATTGAGAACTCAAAACGAAATTTACATAAACACACCTCTCAATAAACACCATCACCAAAACCAAACAATGTAAAATGTAAACAATCAAATAGTACTGGCATTCGCCGTTCTGGCTCTGGCGCAACGATCTCTCATTCGTTTGACATGGCGGTATTTTCAAATCATCCCACCTGATTTATAAAATAACTTACTCTGAACCAGAGATTAGTCAACCACGGTTGACTAATCTCTGCTCTGAACAATCTATAACCTCTATGTATTACGGTGAAGTTATAAAAATTATGAAATTGAAAATATTCTATTAGCCTGAATCAATATGATCATACCTATATTTTGTATTAAAAGTTCAACGCATATTATGAGAATAGAACCATAACTATAGGTGCGTTCGGTTTAACAAAATCGGAGCCGAGCGAGCAGATGCAGATTTTGTGTCACGTGATCACCTAGCAGATAGAGCTAAAGATATTTAACGAACGCTCAACGAGGTAGTAGATTGCGAGCGCCAGCTGTCAGAAGTAACAGAAAACAGAAACAATTCACTTAACCTTATTTCTTTTAAAAACACGTCAGGGCAACAGAGTTCTTTTGAATGTTTGTTGTTTATATTTTGAAAATTACTAGGGAAGGAATGATTCTGTCTCATATGATTGGTCATTAACTGTAGATCCAGAGGGCAGTTGTGATCGCATATATTACAGATATATAATTAATATCATATGCTACCTACAGCGAATTCGTCGGTCATTCTGGCGATTCTGGGCAAGGAGGATACTACAAAATTCAGTTTCGTGTTTCGTTTCCAGTTGATGGAGTCTTTAATTTTTCAACGCAAAAGAGATATATAATTTCAATAACATGTTGTTGACAACTGACAACCGAATAACCGATCAAATCTGAATGATCTGCTCCTCAAGGCGGAGCAAATAGATTACATCTTTCAGCTCGCTCTGACAATTAACGAACACGGAGCAGATTAGACAGAGGAAGTAGATCTGATTTACCGAACGCTTTCCGAGCTAACAGATGGAATCGAGCTAACAGATATGTAATAACCGAACGCACCTTATATAAGTGTGGAATTCAGGAATTCTGAGAGTGGAGAACGTTCAGATATGACACACTCAAAATTATTATGATTAATACTTATTATAATATACCAAATATCATTATTGCTCATTTGTATTATTACGATGTCTTTAAGACGTATTCAGGACGTGAGAATCAGATATCTTTAAAACGTCTGAATGATGACATCTTGTAGACGTCTTATTCAGGGAGTAAGACGTACAGACTAAGATAGGATATAATTCAGACATCTTAAAGACGTCTTGTGCTATCTGGGTAGGAATGGACACATACATACCTCATTTTTCGAAAAGATCATCACCTTCGAAACCCTGGTTCAACAAAAACTGTTCTAGAACTGTTGCCTTGAAACAAACAGCCTACCATCGCTGGCGCAAAAACCCTAACCTCGCGACAAGAGCAGAATACGTTGATGCCAGAAATAACTGCAGCCAAACAATAGATGCTTCCAAAGAAACATACAATGCCAAGATAAGATCGAAACTCATAGATTGCCCCAATGGCTCCCGTTCGTTTTGGTCCCTTGCTAAAGCGGTCGGAAGAAATTTCACTAATAGTTCATTTCCACCACTGTCCAAATCCGACGGCACATTAGCAACAACATCGCAGGAGAAAGCAAATATTTTTGCAGAGATGTTCGCAGCAAACTCTACTTTAGATTCCCAAGGAAAACTGCCGCCAGACATTCCACCCGTTGAGAGTCGAATGCCCGAAATCGTCTTCCGTCAACGCACTATCAGACGAATTTTGCTTGGTCTCAAAACGAATAAGGCTAATGGTCCTGATGGAATTCCACCCATTATCCTCAAAAAATGTGCACCAGAATTAACACCGATTCTCTGCAAGTTGTTTACCATCTCGTACAGGTCAGGTATTTTTCCATCATGCTGGAAGACAGCTAGAGTCCAACCAATCCCCAAAAAAGGGAACAAGAACCTACCCAACAACTACAGGCCCATTGCCCTGTTATCAGTGATCTCCAAAGTGATGGAGAAAGCCATCAATATTGAGCTTATCAAATATCTGGAGAGCTCAGGAATCATCAATGATAGACAATACGGCTTTCGCCACCGAAGATCTACTGGAGATCTACTTGCCTACGTCACCCATCTATGGCAATCTTCAATAGAAAAACACGGGGAATCTCTAGCTGTTGCGTTGGACATATCGAAAGCATTCGACCGTGTTTGGCACGAAGGACTCCTCCACAAACTACCATCATACGGCTTACCACCTCAGCTATGCCATCTCTTATCGAGTTTTCTTTCAGGCAGATCGCTTCACGTGGTGGTGGACGGTGTATCGTCTGATACCATTAGCATCAATTCCGGCGTTCCACAAGGATCAATTTTGGCACCAACATTATTCCTGCTTCATATCAATGATCTGTTGGGAGTAACAACTTGCCCCATCCACAGCTTTGCAGATGATAGTACCCTCCATACTGCGTTCTCTTCCAGAATTCCCATTTCTTCCCAGGAAACTAAGAACTCACGGCGCAGGCAGGTCAATGCTGTCAATAAAGATCTTGCTGAAATCACAGCCTGGGGAACAAACAACCTAGTTGAATTCAACGCCACCAAAACTCAAGCCTGCATTTTTTCTAGAAAGGCGGAACTCAGTATGCCCGATATTGTAATGTCTGGCTCCACCATCCCCACCAAGCCCACCATATCTATGCTCGGTATTTCCATCAGCAACACTCTCTCATGGGATAATCATGTCAGATCCATCGCAAAAGCTGCTTCACAAAAACTCGGATTCTTGTTCCGTGCGAAAAGCTACTTTACACCTCAACAGCTTCTCATGATCTACAAAGCGCAGATACGGCCTGTTCTAGAATACTGTTCCCACATATGGGGTTCAGCACCAAAACATACGCTGATGCTCTTAGATTCCATCCAGAGAAGAGCCATTCGCCTGGTGGGTGACGCCACACTTACTCACTCTTTGACATCATTGGAACACCGTAGAAAGGTCGGCGACCTCTCACTTTTTTATCGATACTTCCACGGGAAATGTTCTTCGGAAATCTCTGCTATCATCCCTTCACTAGCAATACCAATCAGACGAACTAGACAAGCCCAGTCAGCACATCCTTTCGTTGTCAACCTCGAAAGATGTCGAACAGCACTTTATCAAGACTCCTTCATCCATAGAACGGCTAGGCTCTGGAATTCATTGCCTGTGGAAGTATTCCCAACAACATATAATCTCCAAAAGTTCAAAAAAAATTCCAATACCTACCTCCTGTCCCTATCCTCCCTAGGAACGCACGATGTTCTTTGAACATTATAGGGATTCCCTTTCGTGCGCTTCAAGCGATAAAAAAAAAAAAAAAGGTATTCTCAATATTCAGGAAGTAACATAAGTACGTTCAAGTGAAGTATTCCTGAGAGAGTTTTAAGAAATAAAGTCTATATAAGCTTGTGTCCGGAAATGCTTCATTTCGGAGATACAGGGTGTTGAAACACAGAGAACAAATCATTTTTCGATAAACATTTCATAGGGAAAAAGTAGTTTATTTTGACGAGACCTACCAAATACTTTTATCTGTAAAGTTCACAGCAACTTCACTTAGCGCCCTAGGAGCTAAGTAACATGGATCGATATAGAAAATACCTCCAAAACTCCAGCGTAATTAAGGCTCTTATAATAATTCCCTTGATACATAAATAACTATTCACTTTTCACTGTTGAATTTTGAATTTGATCGGCACCAAAAACGCCATTCAATAATATATCACGTAGTTCGCTTGCTTTTCTTAGTTTTGTTTTAAAATTTCCAATTTCATTATGTAATTTTACGGTCATTTCCTCTTTCCATGATTATTTTGTTCTGTATTTTGTGTGGTGATAATAATGAAATTTTGTTTTTAATAATTGAATGATGGAATGATCCCTGTGCTGGCTTCCTCGCGCCTTTTATATGTTCAATCTATATTTTGGAAACGTGACAGTGAGGAAGTCAGGTGGATATTCCTGGTTCGTTGAAGTCAGTGCCATGCCTGTGTTTATGTTGATCTACTAATCGAAAGTTCATGGTTTAATTATTTTGGAAATAATAAACACAGACGTGACCGTTCAATGACTTCGAACCAATATATACTTTTATAAGAATTTTGGAATTTGGCTTCAAATATCTCCTCATTTGTGACAGTATAAAATTATATTTCTCTTTCGGATAAGGTGACAAAGGCCCCTCTGAACGATCTCTCCGACATAAACATGGAGGGCGTGTCGAAAATGTTCCACGTTTCGGGCGTCCATCGATTGAGCACCAGCAGCGACATCGAGAACAATGAAGACCTCTTCGACAGGCTGTTCGACAAAAGGCCGGCGAGGACTTATAGGTAATCAAGCAATCAGTAATACAACAGATACATTTCTAGGTTCACACATTGATGATAAATTGAAGTTTAGTGACAAATTAAGGCTGAAGTTATCATCTGGCTGTTATGCAGTCAGAACAATATCATGGGTACTTGCTACACTAATAATGAACTCTTTTATTTACAATGGCAGAAGATGGTATAATCATTTGCACCATGAGATAAAAAACGTCAATAACCATAAAAAGGACACCACACGTTTTATAGGGAAAATTGGCCTTCTGTCGAATTGGCTGAATTTTTGATATGTTATAGTCCAAGACATTCTGAACAAAATGTCCGAATACCAAACTGTTCTAATGGCTAGTTGTGGCGCTAGAGGCCGCTGAAGTCTCAATGTTGTTTTTTTTTCTCTTGGCAAATTTTCTAAATTGAGCAATTATTATATTATTTTTTGATAGGATAAGTCACTACAAGAAGTTTCCTTCAATATTGTTGCTGTTGGTCAAGAATTATACAGTGTTTTCCAGCAATTATGGTGGAGATAAAATATGATACTATCCAATAATCCAATAAGAAAGGATATTGTCACGTGTCGCATTTCAATTATCAATGAATTCTGATTATACCTAGTATATTTTTTCAAATGCATGTCAATATATATCAGATATCACGCCCTCGAAAATCAGGAGCGCAGATATTGAATAGTTTGTGAACTTTGTTACTTGTGCTGATTTATTGAAGCTATATATACGAACTGTTGTAAGAGGGAAAACGCAAATTGACATTCCTTCTCAAACCTTGACAAATAGGAATTAATAGTAGAGAAAACATCATCACATTAATATTGAATATTGAAATATTTTTCTGATTTGCATATCATTCAGCTGTTGTTATATGGAACGGGTTGATATCTTCGTGTATCTTCTCCTTAAGGGTGAACATGGAATTCGAATAAACGTATTTTGTAATTGAAATAGGACATTTCTCGATTTCTCATTTCTCGATATCCTTTCCTATAAAATCAATTAATTTCATTATTGTCTTGAACAATAATAGCTGGAACACATTGTATAATTGTTGACCAGTAGCAACAATATTGATGAATACTTCTAGTAGTGACTTATCCTATAAAAAAATAATATAATAATGGCTCAAAGAGCTCTATTTATCAGGAGAAAAGAAATCAAGATTGCGACTTCAGCGGCCTCTAGCTCCAAAACTAGCCATTAGAACGGTTTGGTATTTGAACATTTTGTTCAGAATGTTTTGGACTATAACATATCAAAAATTCAGCCAATTCGACAGAAGGTCAATTTTCCCTATAAAACGTGCGGTGTCCTTTCAAACATGTTGTCAAAAGTCTACTAATGGAAAAGACTTCATACTCTTTAGATGAACTCTTTTCCGAGAAATTCCTAAAATAATTCAAACTAGCATTGTTAAAATTGTGTTGTATTTCGATTTAGAACTTTGAACTATATATTCATAGGGGTACGAGTGCCTCGCCGAGAGGCAAGTCGATGGACGCGTATGGGGGCGATAGGCGCAAGACGATGGGCGATCGCGGCGACTCGAAGTCGAGTCCGAGGGTGTTGGATTGGGTGGAGGAGCAGAAGGTCATCCGGATGGATAGGTGGGTCGTGTATGTCATAAAAATTTGTTGATTTTATATTTCCCATCGAATTTTCGATAATATATTGATTACCTTCATTTTCCGGAAGTAATTGATCAATGAATAACTGTGTCACTTCATTCATTATTCCATCTGACTGATTTCTTCTTCTTATCTTTCTTCTAATATTTCTTGCTATCAGATGAATGCTTATGGTTAATCGGTTGAGTGTAAGAGAGTACTGGCCACGTTCATACTGTGTCTTGGTAAGCTGACTAATGACTATATTTTGACTAAATACTCAATGGTCAGTTTGGTATAAACTGTATACTTGGTAAAGTTACCCGCTTGGTTTGGTTCCGAAATTTGTTGCATATCTGACTAAAATAGTATGATGACCAAGATGGTGTAGATATGTTGGTCTACTTCTGTATATCCTTGAATTGACTTTAGTGCAAGTGGCAGTTATTTCATGAGTTCTCCTAATATTTCATTCAATTTCAGTTAATTTCGTATCCTACTAAAAGGTTTTAATCTTAATTTACGAAATCAAGTGGAGTTCCACAACCTAACCTAATATGCAAAGGAATGATCAAAGCTGAAAGACAATTAATGGCCTTTTTTTTTCTTTCTCTGTTTTTTCCCCTTGTTCACTAAAACTAATACAACTGTTATTTTGAGATATCTTAATGAAATGTAAGTTTTGTTTACTTGTAATTTCAATTATACAACAGTCGATAATACTTCATGGATCTTATTCCAGGAATAACTGTCTGATCATTCATGTCACTCCTACTAGAGAATTAATTATACTTTATACATATATTATTTGGGTAAAACTGCATTTAGCATGCGATGGGTTTTTCTTCGAAAATTTTTTTTGGTACTCACGTATGTTTGTCTGAAAAACACGAATTTGACAATGATAATGTAAACAAACGACTATTTATCGAGATATATCAAAAAAAGTTCGAAATTTCGACTGGAGTCTCGACTCCTTTTTCCCCTTGTGTTGGATGCATTTACAGGTACTTGCTCTTCATATTTTGTCATTGGACACTTTATATACTCATGATGTACTTCAATGACACATTGCACCTGCAGTAATTTTTTAAATCATCAATAGTTTCAAGATCTTACAGAATAATATAAATGTTCAACCTTACTCAACAAAATTTCCCACTGACATCTTGGCTCAGTTTCATCAATCTATTCCTACAGAGTTCTGATCTAAGTTTGTCATTTCCAAAATACGTAATATAGACACAACCGATTCCAAAAATTTTGTTGCACACAATCATGACTAATAAATCTATTCATGCGTTTCTGATCATGTTGAGGAAAATGATCACTCCCTTCACTGCCATTCAAACAACTTGAATATAACGATTTTGTTCAGCAGAGCCAGGAAAATGACTGAAAGTGAAGAAAAAAAACCAACTAAAGTTGAAGAAAAGTCGGAAACACCTATAAGTCATCCTACCAGAAGTAGGAGGAATGTATCTGCAGAAACAGTCTCCAAAGAGAGTGAAACAGGCATAGTAGATTCGCCATTAGCATTAACAAGAGGCAGAAGAAATGTCAAAAAAGTAAAAGTATCACCGCCTCCGAAGGTCACTAGGAGCAGAAGAAAAGCGAAAGAAGCGCCAATCATATCTGAAGAAAAACTACAGTTGTCTGAATTGGATGAGACAGGTAAATTTTCAAAAAATTAACATAATGAATTCAATTCTAATTTCAAAATGTCTGGTGTATTTTCAGACACCAGTATCGTTGCTAGTGAAAAAAACGCTACTTTCGACGAAATTCAACAACCAAATATGGAAGCTAACAAAAAAGCCCCAAAAAGACAAAATACTAGAGCACAAACTAAAGTTGTTGAAACATCAGAAGATGTCACTTTCTCGGATATTTCCACTGCAAGTGTTGGTGAAGGTAAGTTTATTCAAAAGCAAGTTGACAAGATATTTCTACATGGGTCAGGTTAGGTTTGGTTGGGTTAGGTTAGGTTCCGATATTGCTGACATTACTGGCCACAGTAAGATCATTCTCATTATTATCATCTTCTCTACTCACGTAGAAATTATCGATGGAGTGATCACTCATATTATCTTGAAAGACATATTATCCTATAGTGATTTTGATTCATCAGAAACACCAGGCTCTAGTACCTAACTCTAGTTCCAGTGATGAAGAAATGAAGCATAGTTGTGAAATATCTGCATTGATACCAATCAAAAGTGGGAATAACAAACCATTTTGTGAATTGGTGGCGCAGTTTCAGCGTCTACTGCTGCCTCTGTGAGATCTTCTAGTTCGAATTGATATATTTTCACAAAGTATTAGGAAAGAATAATACATAATTTTTTCGAAACATGCCTATTCGCGAGAATCACGAAGTGTGCGGCCTCTGGTGGCTAACTTTACAAGTCTTGCGAGTATGAACAACAATGACAACAAATATGGCGACCATTGTTTTGAGCTTCATAATTATGTGTTTTATTTGAAAATAATTTATTTGTTGAAGTGCATATTCCAGAACCCCACTTTTCCCTGATGAAAAAACTCGAATTATTGCATGAACTTTTATTGTTTACAATGAAGAAACCAGTACCTACCTTATAATAATATGATATACATTTTCTGAAGCACAATTAAAATCATTGTATAAATGTTGGTTGCTATGATTCGATCTTGAGAATAACTTCTGTTCATTCTGAGCAGCCTCTCCAACCATATTATCTTCTTTTCTAACCCCTCTACTAGAATTCCATCTCCTTCATAACAGCTAGTGATATTTCTTGTGAATTCAATTATTTCTTCATACCTATACCATATAGTTGTAATAGCTGATTGCCTATATGGTTCTATTCCAGTCCATGCAAGTGTTGAGTGGAACATTCCGACCATTCCATATGTTTGAAAACTGTGGAATTGTTGTGTGATATCAATGATGGATACCACCATTGTCCATATCAAAATGGCAATTTCTCTGCACAAAAAGTTATTTTTTCCATACTGGAAACTTTGTACGTATTTCACAAAGTCAACACATTATTTATTATTTTGCAAAATGATTTCGAAATAACCAATTTGCATTTAGTGCATACGTCAATGTTTTTGTTGTTCATACTCAGTTTGAAATTTGACGTTGATTTGACGTGTAATAGCGCCATCTATTGGTTCGTGATTTTCGCGAATAACCAATCTAACCATTCAAACGCTTAACCTAACATTTCATGAATACTGAATACATTACCATTTTTGCACCAGTGGCCAACAGTAAACTTTTAGCCTCAAACAGGGTTTCTTGCGATGACCTGCGAAAACGTTGCCAGTAAATTTCAGTAAAATCGGAACTATAAAATAAACTGGGCAGTACTGTGGGAATATCGGAACATGCTCATAATATGATTTATTTTACATTTTTAGAGCCTAAAAAACGAGGTAGAAGAGCTGCTAACAAAAAGGAAGTTCTGGAGGAAACACCAAAACAAACAACCAGGGGGGCCAAGAAAGTGAAAGCCATTGAAAAAGCTGAAAAACCACCAGCAGAATCTTCTAGAACCAGACAAAGAACGGCTAAAGTGGCTCAAACTGAAGATATTGAACAAGAACCTGAAGAAAAGAAACCTGCTGGAGTTGTTGAAATATCTGTTGAGACTTTCTCGGATAATTCCACTGCAGGTTCTGGTGAAGGTAAGTAAACTACACAACACTAATTTCGTTGTCGCACTGCAAAATTTTGTTATATGCATAACTTTTTTTTGCTTTGAACAATTTGAATTGAAAACACACTGTCACAAGCCCTACTTCTTCAAAACACGAGGTTCTTCATATAAAATCGCTACAAGGTGTCACCTGAAACTGCAAAATTTCGGAATTTTCAAAAGGACCCCAAATGAACAGTAACTTTTTTTTTAACTTTGAAAGCAGGGTCATGAATATGATCTCATTACCTTGGGACATTTTTCAAATCGTCTTTGAATTGGGATCACACTGTCACAAGCCCTACTTCTTCAAAACACGAGGTTCTTCATATAAAATCGCTACAAGGTGTCACCTGAAACTGCAAAATTTCGGAATTTTCAAAAGGACCCCAAAGGAACAGTAACTTTTTTTTTCAACTTTGAAAGCAGGGTCATGAATATGATCTCATTACCTTGGGACATTTTTCAAATCGTCTTTGAATTGGGATCACACTGTCACAAGCCCTACTTCTTCAAAACACGAGGTTCTTCATATAAAATCGCTACAAGGTGTTACCTGAAACTGCAAAATTTCGGAATTTTCAAAAGGACCCCAAATGAACAGTAACTTATTTTTTCAACTGTGAAAGCAGGGTCATGAATATGATCTCATTACCTTGGGACATTTTTCAAATCGTCTTTAATAACTTTTTGGTTTTGCAGTTATAACTTTTTTTCTCGTCAAGCGATTTTTAAAATCTCGGGCACATTTTGGAGCTGGAACTTCAGATGAAGAAATTTGAAGATCAGAATTGACACAAGATGAACATTATACAGTGTGTCTCACTTCTAATGAAAGCAGCCCAGTATCGTTCGTAATTGTTGAGAAAGGATTCTGAAATTTGCAGGAGCGTGTGATGTACTGAAAATGCACATTATGATCAAGTGGAGTCATCTCCAGTGATATACACTGCTAGCCAACAGCCATGGAACCACCCATATTTCCGGAAAATGATATTATGAGCGAATATATGTTTAAAATCACTAACTATACTGAAAGATTCTAAATGGAGGCATCGTAGATAGACACAATTTCAACACTCAAACACATTTTTATTCATTCAGGACGGCTTGTACAAAGATGACCGTTTATAAAAATACAACATCGACAAGAGATTCGTTCTGATGCTACGATGCTAATGACTAAACCTGCTTCAATCTTCGATCATACAATGATTACGAATACCGTCGTCGAGGCCGCTTGTGATAAGGCATTCCTTAAGCGTGTATCTCAATTACGGGGTGATTTGAACATCGTCGTTAACAATACATATTTTTCCTAAGACATTTTCAGCTATGAAAAATTGAATTTGGTCTCGCTCTCCATGTAAGCACCACCGTATCTTACGTAATTATTGAGGTAGGGTTCTGAAATTTGAAGGTGAAAGATAAAGTCCAAAGATGAAATCAATTATGTGAGATACGGGGGTGCTTCCATAAAAAGTGCGACAAAATTTAATTTCACGGAATTGAAAATTTTTCACGAAAAATATGAAAAGTCAGTGAATTGCACGCCCTGATTGAATCCCAAGTGATTTTCAACCTATCCTGCTTCCTAAGATCATGTTTGTGGGTGGTTCCACGGCAGCTGGCGAGCAGTGTATACCACTGGAGGTGACTCCACTTGGTCATAGTCTATATTTTCAGTATATCTACCGCTCCTGCAAACTTCAGAATCCTAACTCAACAATTGAGAAAGATACAGGGTGGCTTCCATTAGAAGTGAGATACACTATATAATGTTCATCTTGAGTCGATTCTGATCCTCATATATCTTCATCTGAAGTTTCAGTTTCAAAATGAGCCTAAGATTTTAAAAGTCGGTTGCCAAGGAAAAATTTTTGGACTGCAAAACCAACAGGTTAATTTTTTGATATCACTCTGTACTGTAAATGAAAGAGATGAGAACACAATTTGAAAAATGTCCTAAGGTAATGAAATCATCTTCATGCCCCCGCTGGAAAATTCCAAAATTTTGCACAGTTTCAAGTGACACCCTGTAGCGATTTTATATGAAGAATCTCAGGTTTTGAAGAAGTACGTGCTGAAGAACTGTGCTAGTGAATAGTGTAATCCGAACTCAGAAAGTTCTACACAAAAAAAAGTTGTTTATATTTCAACAGTAGCAGAATTTTGGGGTGCGACGAAATTAGTGTTGCCTTGTTGATATTGAGAAGTTTTTTGTTATGTTATGTTACTCATGCAGCATTAACAGAGTTCAATAAACTGCCTGACGATATCAAAAACTGTAGAAATATAGGTACTTTCAAAATAAAAGTGAATAACTGATTTACTTCTGAATGAATAGGATAACATTCTTAGTCAAGTTGTTTAAATATGCATTTTTTACAAATATTCTTTGTTTGCCAATTTATTGTTGTTGATGTATTTTGAATTCGGAAATGTTCTCCTATAGGTATACACCGTGTCCCAGCTAAAATGTCCCCCTCTGTAAAAAATCAACCGCACGATCGAATGACTTGAAATTCGGTCACCCAGTATATTTAATGATGCTCACTGGAAATATGCTATTGAATAAATCTTAGGTATACAGGGTCACACCAAAGTGCACATCAACTTCCTTATTTGAATAGGGACACCCAGTATATTATTCCATATTCAAGTAGAGTTCATTATTAAAAATTCAACAATGCCGGGTTTGATGGGATTTTTTCAAACTACTACAAAGATATGGCAAAAAATTAAACGATTCAATAAAAAATTCATATGATAACATTTCTTTTTTTTTTTTTTATTGATTGATTGTCTTTATTACCCCAAGAAACATTTCTGTTTATGATAGGGATACATAAATACATATAAAAAAATAATAATAAAGGGTTAACTATAATGAATTCCACTCAGTGGAAACGAATTAATAGTGTCTTATAAGATTAAAGTTATATTTCATTCCTAAGTAATCAAATCATGCCACATATTTTTCTTTCAAATTGTCCTGAGCAAGTATTTTTTAAGATTGATTTTAAACCTTCTTGCATCATGTATATTTTTCAATTCATTCGGTAATGAATTGTATGAAATTATTCCATTGAAATCGAATGATGGGTGCCTGCACATAACTACAGATCCGTAAAGGATTATCTTCGCCATCGGTTTGGACAAAATCTAATAATTGATTCGATGGTGATAGCAACTGGCCAGCTCGGTCGCCAGACCTCACCCCACTTGATTTTTATTTGTAGCGCTACTTGGAACAACAGGTTTATGAGTCGCTAATTGTGAATATGGAAGAAATGAAAGAGAAAATCACAAATGTATGCGCTCAAATTAATCGCAACGTGATACATAGGGTCAAAATGAACGTTATCAAAAGAGCTAGGAAATGTTTGCAGCAGAATGGACGACATATTGAGCAGTTGATTTTTCAATTATTTTCTTTTCATTCGATTTCAATCGGGTCATATTAACAAAATCTAATCATATACATTTTTTATTGAATCGTTTGATTTTTTGCCATATCTTCGTAGTCGTTTGAAAAAATCCTATCAAACCCGGCATTGTTGAATTTGCAATAATGAACTCTACTTGAATATGGAATAATATACTGGGTGTCCCTATTCGAATAATAAAGTTGAGGTGCACTTTGGTGTGACCCTGTATACCTACGATATATTCAATAGCATAATTCGAGTGAGCATCATCAAATATACTGGGTGACCAAATTTCAAGTCATTCGATCACGCGGTTGATGTTTTACAGAGGGGGGAATTTTAGCTGGGACACGGTGTATATAAACGAAAGAAATATTAGAACAATGAGAATTGAAGAAGAAAAATTTTTTTAGGTAAAGATACAATACAAGTCACGATGGCATGACAGATCTTGACACTGACAACTTACATAACCACAAATTTAGAAAATTTTCTACAAAAAGGTGGAGATCATTTCGTCCAATAGGGTAACATCATCTGGTGGTCATACACTCAACTGAGCTATAGAGCAGACCAGTAGTTACAGCTCACTAGATTTTTTTCTCCATATTTAGCAGACAATGGCATACTCAATTTTGCCATCACGAAAAGCTATACAGGGTGGACAAAAAAATAATCTGCATATATTGAACATTGAGACCCTGTATCTCAAAAGTTAGGACGTTTACGACATACGTTCATATGAAGTTTTATTCTTGAAATGGGTCCAAGGATCGTCCCCTTGAATATTAGCATATCATCAAGGAACACCCTGTATACCAGGATATTTGATTTTATTCATATGATTCATTTTATATATTTAGGGCCGAAAAATCGTGGAAGGATAGTCGCAACCAAAAAGGAAGTTCAGGATGAAACACCGAAAAAAGTAACCAGGGGTGCCAAGAAAGTGAAAGCCATTGAGGAAGCTGATAAACCACCACCGCCAGAATCGCCCAGAACCAGAAAAAGAACTGCTAAAGTGGCTCAAAGTGAAGAAATTGACCAAGTACCTGAAGAAAAGAAACCTGTAAGAAGAGGTAGAAATGCCAAAGCCATATTGACTGACAATGATGAAGAAAACGACAAGAAGCAGGAGGATGAAATTGTGAAGAAAGTCTCACAAAGAAAGGGGAAAGGTGCCAAGATAGACATAGAAATGAAAGCAGAACTAGAGGAAGAAACGATAGTAAAACGAAGAGGCAGACTAGCTACAGTCGCCCAAAATGAGGGTAAACCAGAAGATTTGGACACTAAGGATAGCAAAGGAGAGGAAGAAGTTGTGCCAAGAAGACCTAAAAGAGGGCGGAAAGCGTCTGTGGATGAAATTCCAAAAGAAAAAATTGAAGAAGTCCCGCCACCCAAAAGAGGAAGAAGAGGAAAAGCAACACCAGTAGAAACTGCAACGGAAGTACAAATACAAAGTGAAATGAAACAAGAAAAAGAAGCAGACAAAGAGAAAGAACCAATTGTCGAGAAGCCAGCAAAAGGAAGAGGAAGAACTATCAAAGTGGTCGAAAATAAGGATGCCAAGGAAGAGGAAAACGTAGAAGTGAGTGTCAAAGAAGAAGATAAAGCGGTTCCAAAAAGGGGTAGAAGAGGGCGAAAAGCTTCCGTGGATGATATAGTGAAGGAAAAAGTTGAAGAAGTTGTGCCAGCCAAAAGAGGAAAGAGAGGAAAAGCAGCAATTTCGGTGGAAGTTGAAAAAGAGTTGGTGTCTCTAGAACCAGAAGTACAAACTGAGGTGAGATTGAAAGAAGTCTGTTGATTTTTTTGGAAACTATGCCTTTTTTTATTCTCTATGATCTCCTGTTAAATTCCACTTATTAGTCATTTGTGCGTCGACATTGAAAAAAAATCAAGATCACAGCAAAATGGCAGATGATTATATCAATTTCGGTTGGATTTACCAGGAAATGAACACAGATTAGGAATTTTCCTATCTTTTTCATCATGTTGATTAACAATTTCACATAAAAAAAATCAAACCGAAATAATGATCTCCCCAGATCCATAATAACAATTAATCAAATGTTCATCTGTTATCTCCATAGTTTTGTGACTTTTATGGAGGCGATTTTTGACAATTTACTTTATTGTGATGAATTCTATGTGCTGTTAGAATCAAATCATTCCCACTGGAATTTTGTTTTTCGGACTGGTTTGTGTTTGGGATCCAGGTCTTATATTGATGAAGAGTAAAATTCCTTGAGAGCCAAAGTTTCTTCAATTCATTTTGACATCTTCAGGGCACTGTAAGATCCCTAGCACGTCAATTTCACGTCATATACGCGTCACCAATTAATTACGTCAAGATGACCAAATTATCGACGTGAAAGAGACGTAAATGTGACGTCAATATGTCACATCGAAACGACGTCATTTAGCGACGTTGTTACAACGTCATTTTTCCATGATCCAATTTCTTGATGGTTGGCAAAACAGTTCAAATGATCTAGTTACAATAGTTGTGAATATTTTTTATTTGTTTACATAATTATACATAGGTATTCTTTATCTGAATAAAAGTATTAAGCATAAAATCCACTATATTTCATAGTATATAGACATAAACGAAGATGTCAAGTTTCAACCTAATAACCTCAAATTATTCTTGTACCTACCTACGATTCAAGGTATTTATAAATAACCTTCTTCAAATAACGACCTCACTACATCAAACAACTTCCAAGTTTCATTTGTAGATTTTGCTTTCTCAATTATTGACCTGTTGAAAAAGTCTTGCTGTTTGAATGGCGGCCACTACACTTCGCAGCCTTACGAGGCGTCATGGCGTCAACTACTTCTACTGAACGAGAGCAATGCCTTTTCCCGGAATATTGTATTCCCACAAACATTTCTATTGCCTGGAATTGATAAAATAACCAGCGAACTGCAATATATTTTGCTGAACCCCACTTTTCCATAGCATCCTTGTTTTCTATGACCCAAAATCACAAATCCGCCATTACAACATTCGATGAACTGGATCACACATGCACATGATTACGACAAACTGTGCTACGATCGACGATGTCCGATAGGGGTAGCGGTGGCATTGTGCGAAACGAAGACACACGAAGCCACGGAGCATGGATTGACCAATCATAAGTGTATGTCTCGACGTGGCGCGCCAATATGAAACATGAAGGCACCTGGTATAACCGTATTTGTAAACATATAATAAATTATTGAATCTTCCGTATCTGTTACCAAGTTATCTCTTTCAGGGTGTTTTTTATTAATATTTGTTCTACATATTTCACCACTTAGTTTTATCCATGTCGGGTATATGTGAATCCTCTTTGCTAAGGTAGGTTCTTTTCACCAAAATGGAATCATTTAGGACTTGCTACAAATGTATGAATGTACATCAAGTAGTCAATAAAACTCTACTCTACTCTATTTTATTTTGATAAGCGTTCAATCGTGAGTCCTGGATATGCAGTTCATGGAGTATTTTCTTCGAAATAAAACAAAATGATTGGTGCAGATGTTACGTCTAAATGACGTCAAATGACGTTTATCAGATACGTTTTTGGAACACGTCAAAATTACGTCAATTATTGGTCGAATCTTGACGACGACCAATTGCCACCTATTATCCACATCGATTCGACGAGAACTGACGTCACCCTGATGGCTGGGCTGAATATGTCAAAATAAATTGACGAAACGTTATTGGCTTTCAAGAGATATAAAACTGATCGAAAAAAATCTAAGGATATTTTTGAACGCAAAAATGACAAAATTTCTGTCTTGTAAAATTTTTGGAACTTGTGTTTTGCTGCTTCTAAGTTGGGAACCAACTCCCTAGAAGTCGAAACTTGTGCAATTCATATCAAAAACACAATATCCTTAACTTTTTTCCATCTGTTTAGTCTTTAATCTAAGACCTGAATCTCAAAAACAACTGCACAGTCATCAATAAAAAAGTCGTAAAATAATTGAAATTTCTTTTTCAGGTCGAGAAGAGCCTAAGAGGCAGGAGTAGATCCAAAAAGGCAGTAGTGGAGGAGGAAAACATAGACACAGTATCACCAGTGAAAAAGAGGCCTCAAAGAAATAATAAAAGTAAAGAAATTGAGCAAGAACCGGAAGTAGTAGCTAAGAAAACAACACGTTCAAAAGGTAAAAACGATAATTACTTCTGAATATATTCTTTAGTGGATTATGCCATAATTTTTGACTTATTTCATTTATTTTACTCACTGGGACTTTTTGTTGTTGATGAAGGTAATGTAGCAGAAAAAATGGGGAAAAATGAAATGGATGAATCTTTGACGTCAAAACAAACAAGGGCGGTAAGAGCCAATAAAAAAAATTTAGACATTTCTGCCGAAGCTGAAGCAACGGGAAGAAGGAAAAAACACGTACAGTTCAAAATATGAATGATTATTTTTAATTATTCTAGTTATGTGTATATTCCAATTTTTTAATGGATATCTATATTTTCTTTTAGTGGATATATTTTAGAATTTTTTTGTACATTGCCATTTTATTTTTAGACATTGATAAGTTGTATGTAGTGTCTTGAATGTTTTTTATATTCCGTGATTATAAAGAGTGGAACATATTCAACAATTTGTTTTTTCCTTTTTGTCTACAAGATACTGTGAACATTTTCATAAGGAAAATTTCGTGCAAAGTACTAGATATTCACCATTACATTATACATTTACTATAATGTATGACAGTAATGATCTAGAAATAGCCAACATTATGAATCATCATTTTTCGAGTATTGGTGAGAATATAGCAAAGGAAATAAAATCGTATTATAATAATCTTCCACGTCAAAATGTCTGTCCACAATATAATGATTCCACAATGCTTCTGTTTCCCACTGATGAAAGCGAAATCATTTCTATAATCCATGATTTAAAAAAGACATGCCCTGATCCAGAAGGTTTGATTACTAAAGACATATTTGAATTGAGACACATTTCAGCTACACCAATATCAAAATTGATCAATGAATCTTTCAAAAAAGAAAGTTTCCCACACGAATTGAAACATGCATCAGTAAGAGCTATTTACGAAAATGGAAATGCTCAGGATCCAACTAACTATAGACCAATAGCTTTAATAAGCATATTTTCTAAAATTTTTGAAAAAATTCTCAAGAAACGCATTGTAGAATTCATCAACAAAAAATATAGCTTCGATTCTAATCAATTTGTTTTTCAAGAAAACAGTGGAACACAAGCAGCAGAATTGCAAGTGATAGAATCAATCCAGAGAGGACTTGATTCAGGAAATTATGTGGTAGCTGTTTTCATTGATCTCAAAAACGCTTTTGACACAGTTGATCATACAACACATTTAGAAAACTTAGAAACAATGGGACTCAGAGGCACTGTGAGAAATATTTTGAATTCATATCTTGAAAATAGGACAATCAATACAAAATCAACCAACTCTGTGTCAAATAAACTATTGATCAATAAGGGTGTCCCACAGGGCTCTGTTTTAGGACCTATACTATATTTACTTTATGTTCAAAATATCAGTGAAATTGGTCTCACGAGTAAATATACCGTGTATGCAGATGATACAGTACTTTTATATGAAGGCAAGAATCCTTCAAATTTAGAAAATATGATAAATGAAGACTTGAAAATATTTGAAAAATGGCTCCTTTCTAACCTTTTATCGATAAATACTAACAAAACAGAATATATGATTTTTCATCAAAAAAATAAACAAAAAATTTATCTCAACCTTAAAATAAAAAATGAACTCTTTAAACAAACTGACCAGATAAAATATCTTGTTATTTGGTTTGATGACAGGTTGAAGTGGGACAAACATATTGATGTTCTGATAAAAAAAATCTCCAATTATTGGTGCATTGAGAAGATGTCCCAAACTTGATATCAAAACTGCAAACATGATTCTCTACTCTCATATACTGAGTCGTATTAACTATTTAATAAATGTTTGGGGATCTTGTTCGAAAAATTATTTCAATAAAATATCAACATTACATAGAAAATCGTTAAAAGTATTGTATCGTCTCCCATTTGATACACCAACCAATCAATTGTTTGAAATAACAAATACGCATTTTTAAGATGAAATATATAGAATTGAAACTCTTAAAATATCATATAATATAAATAAAAAATTGAAGTCGAATTTTATTTTGATACGGAATTCTGAAATTCATAATCATGAAACTAGACAATACAACTTGTTTCATCTTGACGCCGCTAGCTCCATAATCGGACAAAAAAGATTCTCTCATTCAGCCTTAACTAAATTCAATACACTACCTGACAATATAAATAATTGCAGAAATATATTCAAAAATGAAGTAAAAAACTGATTATTTCTGAGCGAACTGGATAAAGTTAATCATGCCATTTATTTTTACAAATATGTTTCTTTGTCAATTTACAGTTGATATATTTTGAATAATGATATGTTTACCTATAGGTATATAATTATGTACTTCCTTATACCATCAGAACCTATTCTGTCTGGAAGTTATTTGTTCAATAAATAAATAAATAATAAATAATCCCACTAAAACCATTAAAATGATGTGTAGGGACATGATTCTGAGGAGTAAAATTCCACAAAAATGTAATATTCAATACAGGTTTATTTTATAAACATCACATAATCAAGAAGCAGTTTACATCACAATTATTCGAGAAAATTCAAAATAAATACAAACTAGAATTAAAATGAGACTGATCATCATAAAGCATTAAAAAAGCATTATTTTACAGTTATTATCAGAGCTTCACTTATTTTGTAAAATTATATCAACATCAAGTTTAGGAACTTAAATTCTAGTAGGGCAGGAATATTTGATATTCATAAAAAAATAAAAAATCATATTAAACAGTTCGATTCTAATCCAAATCATCTTCAATGTCTCGTATCACCATTTGTGCGGTAGCACTTCTTGATATTGCTGAAAAAGAAAAATAAATATATCAAAATCTAGGAACTGAAATGACTTGATATTGTAATATGATAAATGAATTCCAATTTCATTACTTCTGTGTTATTTTGCTACAAAATACTGAATAACTACAGGTCTATGTTAGGTATGAACCACAATAGTATCTACTGTTTATGATGATTTCAAACAAACTATGTACAGGGTGGTTGTCTATATTCTACTCAATATAGCTATGTCAGTTGATATTGGTCATACAGAAACGTTTGAATGGGCATTCAGAAGTCAGTACCTACTATAGGAAATGCAAAAAACGTATCGTCAACCCAGAAATTTTACACAAACTGTATTTTTAAAATGTATTTCATTTTCCTGATCAATGGAGCTCTTTCTTCTGATCTCATATTATGTCTACTTCATTGAGATTATCTTTGTCAGTTTTCGGATTTTTTTTTCCGTATAAATCAGCTGTAGCACGCCAGACGATACATTGCTGCGATTTCTGACGTTCTACAGCTACCTTAGATACGAAAAATATATATTTTTCGAAAACTGACAAAAATAGCCTCGATAAAGTCAGAAGGAAGAGCTCTTCTGAGTAGGTAAGTAAAATACAGGATGTTTCATTCAATAAATAGTTCATGTAAAATTATTGGGTTTACGATGACTTTTTGCATTCCCTAGTAGTGAATTTTGAATTCCCATAAAAAATACATCATATTTGCTCATTCCAACGTTTTTGTAAGATCAACAATAACGGAGATAGCTGTTGAGTAGAATATAAACAATCACCCTGTACTTAAATAGGCATCTATCCAAATACATTATTTGTTACTAAAAATTCTTCACTAGGCTAAGTAGGTTACTACAAATTGTCAGATGATTATAAAGCCAAGGTTAAAGATTGCTATCAGGTATATTGTTGCCGCAAATACTCAAGCTCTAAGTTGGTTTAGTTTGCTAAAATTAATATAAGAAGCTTTGGAAGCTTTTAGTATTTTTTAATTTGTACTTCACAGTCCCGAAGTATCTTCCAAATGTTTCTGGATACCCTGTATAGAGAGCATGTTAGATATAAAGCATAATTTTAGTAATAATTTGGAAGCAGAGAATTATGATAGCATTCGAAATAAGGAGCAACAAATAACAGTGATGGCTATTAATTCAGTAAATTTTCATCAGAACTAGAGATATTCCGTGTAAGGATATTTTGTTCACATTTTCTGATGAATATCTCTATTTCTGGAAATAATATATTCACTCGTAAAGATACTCATTGTGTTTTCTACCTAACATAGTAACTTTCATGAACATAAGCATGGACATTCTGTGTCTCGCTGCCTGGCATGCATTTTTCGACTTGTATTTCTACAAACTGGTACATACGCTGTCGAAATTCTATGTGTTACCGTCTCCTTGTTGTTGAGTGTCGAGGAACGACTTATTTTTTCTTTTTCTCCTCGTGACGATAAACTCGAAACTGAAAAAAAACATTAATATTTAAACTTTGTCTTCTATATGCATCATTGTGAACGATTCAATGGAAATTTCTCCTTTACTCACCTCTACTTGTTTCTTTTTTCTGCTGGATTTGTTTCTTTTTCACATCTTCGTTCTTATTATACCTAGTTTTATCTCTAGCCACTTTTTCTGAAGTGCTCCTGATTGTGGATACGGCAGTCTTGTGTCGAATTTCAGGCAAACTTCCAAGTATTCTACAACAAGATACCATTCATTAAAATAAAAGTTTGGAGCAGAGTATTCTCCTCTCAATGATTTTTCCCCAGATAAGCGACGTTCATCTGATATTAGTTTTCAAATCAATGTAATATGATTGTTGTATTTCATAATAACGTTATTCATAATGAAAATATGAAAAATAGGTAAGTTATACGTTTTTGATGACACCGAGATCTTCAAAATTTGATTCAGCAATATGTTGTAATTTAATAGTATATGACGTAATATGTGTTGTAAGAAGCATATTACGCACGAATGGAAAAGTTTTGTACGTAGCCGCGGAGCGGAGGGTTGGACAAACAGTCTGAATTATAATTCTTGACAGTTATGTCATCTGCTGTTGACGGCGATTACGCGATCATGAAGGGTGGAATATACGAAAACTGTGCGATGTTATTACTGTGGGTAAAGAGCTACTTACTGAGGCTGTATCTCGTGTGTTCTTGCCTATACTTTCTATAGCGGCAGTAGGTTAACCATATTATTTTCGAAGATAATATATTTTTTCAATAATTGAATAGTTGTAAATGAAGTTTAGTAAACAAAATTACATGAAAACATCTCAACTGCAGATTATAGGAACGAAAATAGTGGAGAAAGTTTGAATAAACATGGGTCCAGAAATGGCCCCTCAAGGGGTTGTTGCCATTCGAAGGCGAGCCCGAGATGAGGTCTTTTTTGTACATTTACCTAACTGTCCAAGCCTACTTTGAAAATGTTGGAATATTTCGAAATTTTGATCAGGGACATGGAAAATAGGAGAGGTTAGGGCACTTTTCCCCCACTTTTCAAGATAAATAATGTATATCCGTACAATTGCATGTTTATTTTACCTATTATGATTCGCTTGATGCAATAAAATCTCCCAAATTCAAATCTAAATGAGTAGTGAGGATACAGAGGGTACAAAGTCAAGTTGCTTTTGACC